GTAAATATTGTATCAGACTACTGGTATACATGAACAACTGCAGTAAAGACACTGAACATGTATTGCGCGTGCCAGGTTTGATCCATGTGGGGGGATGGGCACATAAGAGCGGGAAATGTATCAAATTGTTCTGTGTTTGGATGGTTACAAATTCCTTTTCTTTATGGCGGTCATTTTTGACCGGGGACACCATGGGTGTTAAAAAGTTGACTAAATCATCCAAAATTCAATGAAAGTGGTGATCAGCAATTGTATATGTTCAAATGTCTACTGTGAAGGATATCATAAAGCCTTAATGCAATCGAATGTAAAACAAAAGAGTTATGATTAATGAAAGTAGTATATCGGTCAGGTTTGACACGAACACAACAGGAGGGTTAAAGGGGACCTATCATGCAAAATGCACTTTTTTATGTCTTTTATACATAAATATGTGTCCCCGGTGTGTCGGGGAACTCACGCAGCGTCAGAAAATAAAACCCTCTCTCTTTTCCTCCGTACCCAAATCTCTAAAACGGGGCTACAACGGAGCTGATCCAGATTTACGTCAGATATGACATATCTGAAATGTAGGCTGGCTTTACACCCACGGCCCTATCAGAAACGTTGCTATCAAAAACAATGCCCGACTGTTTTGGACGTAATATGGTCGGTGTTTACAATAGTATCGCTAACACTCAGAGCTAACCTGTACTGGAGAGCATGTGTGTGAAGAAGCAGGAAATAAAAAGGAATTCACCTTGTGGTATAACCGGCAAGAGAGAAAGCCTTTGAGCTCCATACTGTTTCAGAAATAATACTTGATAATCCATGATGTGGCGTTTCATCACCGCAGTATCTGCCGGTAGCATCTCCCGCATGAGCTCAGCCGCCTCCTTTATTTTAAAGCTTTATACTCCAAATCAGCACTTTTGAAACAGGAAGTGAAATAGAGGGATATGAGGCATGGCTAGAATGGGTGATCTGTTTGGTATTTTGAGCAAAACACTTCATAGACCTATGCTATTGCCTAAAAATAGCATGACAGGTGCACTTTAAAGGATAATCATTGATCAGCAGTAAGTAAGGGGTGGGAATTAATAAGCGTTTGCTTCCTCCTGCTCCCTTTCGGACACATATGATTCATCATTAATATGAAAGTGTGTGTTGAATATATAAATATGACTATTTTTTGTTAAATATTATTTTAACAATACGGTATTTTTTTTTTTTTAATCTGTTCGAAATAAAGTTTGAAATGAAATGGTTTACAGTAATCTAAATGATGTGATATTTGGCATTAGTATAGTAAAATGTGAAACAACTTCGAGTGGTCCTTTGGATTGAAATGTAAAGTCACTAAATCTCTACTATAACGTCCTATACAGTAAGAGGAAATAATTGTTGACCCTGCATGTGACTATTATTATAATAGTAATAATTATATTATTGGGTATTGTCCACAGTAATAACTGTTACATTACATGTAATACGTAATTGTAAAGCGCTTTGAGTGCCTTGAACAGCACTCTAATAAAAAATGTAATGAATTGTTATTATTAATATACCTGTATAGCATTTGTGACGTTCCAGCCAGCCTCCCAGGTGGTGATGGTGTTCAGCCCTTTGGTGCCGGGGTTGGGGCTCTGAACAGGATTACCCAAACTCATCTTTGCTATCTCTTCTTCCAAGTTGGTACCAAACTGAGAAGTCCCCTCCACAGTCTCCTCTCCTTCCTCTCCACGCTCAGAAATTCTTGGCTTTTGCATATTCCCTCTAAACATCCTGTAGGATTGTGTCTTGTTCTCCTCAGTGTTGTCGGTCTCAGAGGATATTTTCCCTTTGCCATAAATGTTGGAGTTTTTAAACCAAAAGGAGTCTGAAGTGGAAACGGCTGAAGTTATGGTGATGGTTCTGGGTCCGGTTGAGATAACAGTGGCTCTGGTTTCTTTAAGAGTTGGACTCTCCTGCATAAAGGTGCTGTTTCTCGTGGTGTCCTCAGAGCTGTTGTTTCTGTTTGTGATGTTCTCCAAAGGCAATCTGTTGTCCTCACCATAGGTTCGGCTCAACTCATCGCTGTGGGTCAGAATCAGCATCTCTTCGTCCTCCTGAAAAAACCTGCCAATCAAAACAAACCACTTCAATAAATGAGTTAATGTTTTTTGAGTCATCAGTTACATTAGTAATAGACCATATTGAGTGTATTTGGTTCAATACAACTGTTCTTATCATATTATTCCTTCCAAATGCCATAATGAGTTTAAGAATACAATGGAGTCTGCTTTGAATATCTTGAAAGGACAGCCTCATTACCTTTAAAGAAATGTCCTCATATTTGTGTAATCTTTAGTTTAACTTGAACAAACTATACAAAATATGTATATTGACAACAATACTATTATGCAAAAGGAACAATAAGTGTTATTTATTGACTTGTAAAGTACCTTGTTACTCTGACTCTAGAAAATGTATACAGAAAAGTTTCTACTATCAATGAACTTAGCAGATACTCTACATGATGCACAATACAGTTTAACATGAAGAATGATGATGAACCTACTAATAATCATAGTTATTTTTAGAAAAGTAATTATTTCGATATGAAAATAAATAGTAGGCTACAGTAAATCTATAAATGAATGTATCCCATATTGTGACTCACCTTGATGTCCAGTCCAGGTGCAGTCTCGACACTGCCCGGCCCCACAGAGACCCAGCAGAGCTCCAGGGCTGCCCAGAGCTGCGAGCCCAGCGACGAGAGCCCATCTTCAGCCTCACTGTGCGCAGAGTCAGCCTCTCTGCCTCTGGAGGTCTCTGGGTCTGGGGAAGATTGACTGACACTGCACACATAAACAAACTCCTACAAAAATATCCCCCAAACACACACACTCACAATGTCTGCCTGTAGATAATCTGCAAAAACACACAATTGCACAAACACTCTTGCACAGGTGTGTGCAGTGATTGACAAGTTGGTGAGCTGTAACATTTTAATATAGCCGTGTTTTCAACAGTGAAGAAGTAAACAGATTTAATGGCCTTAACGCAGGGATAAAGTTGAGGGTATGACTTCATTCACTTTCATTAAATGCGGGATAATTTGCAGTTTGGGTTTAGCCCCAGACTGTGGTGAGTTGTGCAGGGCAGCAGGAGGAGCCACAGAACAGTTGTGTAACTCACTTGTCAAAACTTGACCATAACTTTTGTCCAACTCTTCACTTCTGAAGTTTTCTCTACTTAGTTCTTTCTCTCTTCTTCACCCTGCTATGCTCTTTTGTTTGTTGTTTCCAGAGCTGTGCTGATGCAACATTTCATTTTCTTTGTAGCATTTGAAGCTTTTCTTTCCAAAATTGCTTCAGTTTTGCAGCAATTGATGTATAATACGCCTTAAACCCTGTAATGGTTTAAGCAATTGTTAACTTAAGCACATGTTTACAATTGTTTGGCAGCAGTGGGAAACATTATTTTAATTACAGTACTGCTTTGAAACTCACTGGATCTCATCAAAAAGTAATCCGATTACCCAATTTCAGGGTTACCATATGCTCGCAATGATCCCAGAATTTAAAGTTTCAAAAAAGTAACCCAAGTAAATTAATTAATCTGCTATATAATAAAATACCTATTAGGAACTTTATCTTAGTATTAGTCATTTTACTTCACACTTCTACACCATTACGTTTCTAAGGAAAATGTTGTATTTTTTTACATTTTACATTCATTTGCCAGACATAAGCTAATGATAATGTACATACATTAATAATAATGTACGCAAAACACAAGCTCACCTGATACAATGTGGTGCATTGCTTGATATGGGCCTTTCTGATGCCCAATGGTAACTTTTATAATCAATACTGCAAATACATGTTTGTTGTAAAAAGTTCTATCTATCTATCTAATTTTCAATTCACTTCACCCCTCCTTTGCCCCATGTTTAAACCTGGAGAGAAGGGGGAGAGAGTAGAGGAAAGGGAGGAGTAAAGAGAGAGAGAGACTTTGGATCAACTTTCTCTGAAACTTCCCTCTGACTTTAAACGCATCACACGGAGCTGCGCTAGAGGACCCCAGCGCTGATTCCACAGCGCACGCGGCACAATATCAAACTTTTTAAAACAGGACGAAATGAAGCGACTCCGGCTCGTGCTTCTGACCGCGTTACTATGGCAATGCTGCCATGCCCAGCAGAGAGGTGAGTCCTCGAGAGGCTGATAGATAAGATAACGGATCAATACACCGATAACTGTGCTCAGGAGGAGTCATTTACCGGAGCACAACACTCCCATCATGCATCAGCCCGCTGTCACTCACACGGCTGCTGCTCATTTCCCGTAATAAGCTAATCAGGCCCAGGCTGGCTACACCTCTGCCTAGATAGATAAACTAATATAAATCCAGGAGAAAGGCTTTTAAACGTCCTCTCATCACTGTGGCAAGCTGACACGTGCCATTAATCACACTTTGTTTCTATCTAGAGCAGGGTTTCTTTACTTATTTAGATAAAAAGGAAAACGCATGATAAACACTTAAGCACTTAAAAGAGCACTTTACGCACACATCTGTTTACATTCCTATTATTTAGTTATATATTATTCCAATCAGCTGTATTGTATTCCCCTACAATATTTAATTTAAAATACTGTTTTTATCAAACCTTACTTATACTTACTTGTTTGGGTAAATAACTTGCTTTTTTTGCATTTACTTACACCATTGTGTCCATTGCAACATTCTCTTGTTTCATTTCTTTTTCTTCTTGCAGTGTTTTCATTTGATCTATTTTTTGTCTTGAGTATATTGTTTGTGTCATTGTTGGAGGAGCCTGAACTACTCTGAAGCTATTGTGCATATGACGGTAAAAGACAGATAGAAGATGGTTGTTTCAAATACTGTTTGAATGGTTAAAAAATCAACTTAGCCACTTTGGTGATATCAATGTCTAAAGTCAAGGAAACTGTGTGTTTAGGCTGTAGTTTTTGAAGAGTATAACATCAGTAGCTTATAAACTGTAGCTGGGTGACTTCAACATAATTGACCAAAGGAAACATCCATTAGATCTAGGAAAGCAAAGGCATAGCTGAGATCATAAAACCCTTTGAAATGTCTTGTTAAATTAGGACCCCAACGTTTGTTGTCTGTTTCTGAGGGATCTGATAAGAAACGTTGCGAAAGAATCATCAGTTGTTGTTCTTTTTAGACTCATCAATAAGATCTACATAAAAGACCTTGACCTATAGTTAGTGTTGAACTGTACTAATACAACAGACATATGTCCCTTGTATTGCCCTTTTGCAGTAACTGCTTGGCCAACAGGATGTATCCTTAGCTGATGTGCACTTTATGACATTTAGTCTGGCTCCCTGGGGAGTCTTGTTTTCAACTTTTCACATAGTTCAAGAACTCAAGTCACTCACAATGTTTGTCTATGTGACATTCATTTATGCTACAGATGAAGGCTTGTTTCAGTGCCATTATAAAAAACAATCAGATAATTTTTTGCTGTTTGTAAAAGCAGGTATTTGTCAAATAGTGAGGTTATTTTCACTTTGGACAGTGTACAATATTGGTTTTGGATTGGATGCAGTTTGCGGATGAGTCACTAATGATATGAGGTTCAGATTGTCACTGGCATTTCATTTTGAAGTTAAGAATGTAATGTGACCATCTGTGTTTTAGTCATCCTCAGTGTTTTCCTAAAAACAAACGATCAATCGCAACATGCCCTGAAGGTTGTTCACCCTAATTATAAAATAACATTTATTTTTATTTTGTGATATTTAGAGATGCAGATAAGATCAGTCTCTGAGTTTTTTTGCCACCACAACCAAACAACAAAGGTGAAGTAAAGTCGTTATTGTACATTATTTAAAACCTTAACAGCAGCATCTATTTTCAGAAGCTGTGTTCCTCTGAATAATCCTCAGATCTCATCTTCAACAGATTTATCATACTGTTTTCTACCAAAGAAATGTTCCTTTTTTAAAAATGGTGTTCACAGTTTGTTCTGTGGATTATCCAAAACAAACTCTGAACATCATGAAACACGGTTGCTGTTTCTAAAAGACACATAACGTTGAATCGGCTGTATGAAATATTATTTTCAATGCCTTAAGTACCACTAGCAAAATCCATACACATACTGCTTTGATGTGAAGGCAAACATCTCAGATAAATCTCTCAAAACCCAGACAAAGATAACCACATCCGTGTGCATGCCTGGATACCAACACTGCTAAGAGAAATACGATCTTCTTTGTTTTTGTCATTTAAGTGAATCAACCCTTTAAAGATCAAGAGATGCGAAATGCACTTGAAAAGAGCTGCTGCTTTTGTATTTACTGTAGTTGTGAAGGTTAATTATGTTCTTGTGTGTTAGGGCCGTGACATTCAACAACAAAAAATGAGAAACAATTATGCCCTTAGAGGAGAAGGGGATTGACAGCTGGGCCAAAAACAATATAACAAAGCACACAATAAGATATTCATGCAAAATGCTGATTCTTATTATTAGTCAAATTACCCCTTTTACACAACTTACTAAGGATCGGCCATTTTCTTCTTGAACAATAGAACAAACATGAAGATGAAGCTGTTTGAGTGTGTGTAGGGTGTGTTGACATGTGTGTGTTTGTAGCTTGAATAATCAGACAAATGTAGTGCTTGTCATGCTTTTTTTCTATTTATCCTGTTCAAAACATCTCCAACTACTGTTTAACGCAGGAGTGCTTTGGACCACCTGCCGAGGGGAGGGGGGCTGCCATCATGATGTGTGTGTTTGTGCGTACGGTGTGTGTGTGTGTGTGTGTGTGTGTGTGTGTGTGTGTGTGTGTGTGTGTGTGTGTGTGTGTGTGTGTGTGTGTGTGTGTGTGTGTGTGTGTGTGTATTGTGGTGTGTGTGTGTGTGTGTGGTGTGTGTGTGTGTGTGTGTGTGTGTGTGTGTGTGTGTGTGTGTGGTGTGTGTGTGTGTGTGTGTGTTGTGTTGTGTGTGTGTGTGTGTGTGGTGTGTGTATATAAAAGAGAGAAAGTGAGTAGAAGAAGGGCGGGAGAGGCCATCTGCATTAGGAGCCTCATTACCAGCCATGTCAGCCAGGCATGCTCTCTATCAGTGACGGAGCTCAGAGAGACACCGGGAGATAATCAGAAAGAGGAGGAGGAGGAGGAAGAGGAGGAGGAGGAGGAGGAGGGATGAAATGAAGAAGAGAGGAGCAGCAGCCTGGAGGGGGGGCGGCCGCTGAAGCCTCCTACATTAACAGACTGTAAATAACAATACAACGCTTTTTTCATCCACGGTATGTTTCCCAGCATTTAGTATGGATGCTATTTAATTACAGACAACCTGCTTCCCGTGTTATGAGATTCCCCATTTGTAATAAAATCCCTCTGTTAAAAACATTTAGAGTTGTGTATTATTGTGAGATTATTTTGTATAAAATACTGCAGTTGCGGCTTTCAGACACAAGAGGGCGGTGTTACTGCAGGAGAAGGGAATGATGTCTATTCATTGTGAACGGGATAAAGCGACATGTTTTTTTTTATAGTTACTATTCAACTAATTCAATCTATACAGAAAAAAGTAAGAATATAAATTAGTTAAAACAGGAGGGACTAAAAGATACAAAATAATCATATTACTTGGAGCTCAAATATTGACAAAATACTTAGAACATGATAAATACACTTCAAAACGTATAAAATCAATTAAGAAATCTAAATTTGTTTTCAAGGTAAGAATTGAACAACGTAATGTAAAGGAGCTGGTTTTAAGTCATGCAAGTTTTGATTTGATTAGATTTATTTAACATAATTAAAACAATAATACAAACATTAAACATGAGAATTATTATACAATACAAAATGAAGCAGTGTCAAATTGATATACAAACACATTACTGATTCTAAGTTCATTTACAGATAACAAACATTGTACTGTTTAACCCTTTATATTCATGTTTAAATAGGGTTATGTGATCTGTGTGAGTACTTGTGTCTTTTGATATTTATATGTGAAGAACTATGAGGTAAAAAAAAAAAATGTTCTGCAGCGATAATACACCTTACTACCTATTTAAAATGCATGCAATAAACCGTTGCAATAATGATCTGCTTTGCATGCCATTTAATTACGTTAAGGCATTTCATTAGCTGGCGCTTCAATCCAAACCAACCTACAATAAGTGCTTGATCTTTGAGGGCACATATTTTAAAGCAAGAGTCATATACCAAACCCTCAATGGCCTGCAGCAGTACTTACTCAAGGGCACCACGGCAGGTAGTCGAAAACCCTGCTTTCACTGAGCTTTCGTTAGAAATGTTTACGCATGATTTAATTGTCTCGACAGCCTTCACAATGGCAGGAACTTTTCATGTATTCATTGCTTTGGTACGGCTTTATTCTTAACTCGTCTTTCTTTTTTGTAGCGGAAAAAAAGTTTTCTAAGAATAACAAAGTAAATAGCAGCTTTTTTAAATAGCTGAAAATGCACAGGAAAAACTGGGGTTTAACAAAAACAAGTTGAAATAGTGGCTTTGTCTTTCAAATATGTATTGCTCTTTACTGGCTTAACTCTTCTTTCTTGTACTGGAAAAAACTGTTTTTTACCATTTCACTACAACGCGACAAAAAAAAACTTTGAATAGAAAACACGGTAAACCAATGCAAAAAAACGTGCGAAAATAGTGATGAATAAGGCACTGTTGGCGTACTGTAAAACACGCGGGAAAAACGGGTTCTAACTTAAAAACATGCCAAAATAGTGATGATTAAGGCACTGTCGGCGTTCTGTAAAAAGCGCAAAAAAAAACAGGTGTTTAACAAAAAAAACGGGTCAAAACAGTGATTATGGCCCTGTTGGCTTCCGTAAACGCCAGAAAAAAACGGGTGTTGAACTAAAAAACGTGTAAAAAATAGTGGCTTTTATAATAATAATAATAATAATAATACATTGCATTTATATATCGCTTTTCCTAGTGCTCAAATAAGCTTTACATACAATCAGAAACAGTACGAAGATGGCACGGCTTTATGGCATGGTTGGCCGTCCATACATATGCGGTGCAGGGTTTAGGGGGGCGAAGGGGGGGGCAGTGTGGAGGCAGGTCTGCTGCTGCATACCGAAGCCCCGATAAATGCATCTCATTCAGAGGAGAGGAGCTGAAAGCTGCACAGGGACATAACAGGACAGCAGACTACACCAGGTGAGCCATTCCTGCAACTTACCTGCACCATTTTACCTCATTTTCGTGTTCATGTTAAGGATATTATATGTTGCGTTGTTGGAGAAGCCTTGGATTTACGATGTGCATTGCCAAAAACGACACTGCAGCTATTGTGCACATGGGAAATGAAGCCGTTGAATGTTTGAACATTATTGTGTCCACCTCAAGGACAGGAGTACAGCCTCACTGCGGGGCAAATGAGGAAAATACACTTTACAAAAATATTTATTACAAACTTTATTCTGACACTATTTAGGTGACGTAGTGAGTTAACAACTCACTGTTTTAATATGAGGTGGTCCACATAATATCCCACCTAACTCGTAAAACTTAACATAAGTTAAGCTATTTACAGTAGCTGTTAAGTAAGCTCTATTTGTACATTTTTCTGTGGCTAAACAATGTATTTATGTATCTAAAGTTAACGTTTGTGTTTATTCATTGTGTTTATCGTGGACTTGCCCTTGCGCAGTCTCCACCTGTGTTATCACGATGTGTGGTTATTATCCTAACGACGGGGTATATGTGTTATTATTTTAAATACCGCGAGATGTTATGATATAAGGGGGTTTGATGTGTCGTGATAGCGGTGCAGCCTACGCACTATGCGCATTGTGCAGATTGAGTGAGAACAGGGAGAACATAATGAAGGAGCCTACATTTACTCAAGTTCTGTATTTAAGGACAATGTTCAGGTACTAGTATTTCAATTGTATACTTCTTTATACTTCTACTCAGAGGTGGAAGAAGTAATCAGATTATTTGATTAATTCAAAGTATAAATTCTGCAGTAAAAATACTCAAAAACAAACAAATAAGAAAAAATAATTTAAATATACAAAAAAAAGAAAGATAATACAAATGTTATTATGAAATATATTTAAATGAAAAAATAAGAAGATGTTTAAAATACATTTGAATATTACAAAATTATTAAAAGTATTTTCAAATATAAAAATAAATGTTTTTACAGAATTGTAAACATACAAAAAATTAGTGTTAAATATTTTCTCAGTTTTAACACCCAAACGATCAATATAGAAAATAGTCTTTATAGAAATTGCTCCTGAAAGTAACCCCTGCAGCCCTCATGATACCGAGCTCCTCTTTCTGTCCCAGGTGTCCAAATAATGAAGTACATTCACTCAAGTTCTTTATTTAAGTACAATGTTCAGGTACTTGTAGTATTTACATGTTATACTACTGTATACTTAGTCTACTCAGAGGTGGAAGAAGTACTCAGATTATTGACTTTAGTAAAAGTATCAATACTGCAGTAAAAATACTCAAAAACAAATAAATAAGAAAAAATCTTATATATATGCATAAAAAAAACGATTTAAAATATTATATTATAAAATATATTTAAATAAAAAAATAAGAAGATATGATTAAAATAAAATGTAATATATATATATATATATATATAAAAAAAGGAAAAAAAAAACTTATAAAAAAAAAAATCAATCTAGAAAAATAATAATCAAAGAAATTGCATCTGAAAATTGTAATTTTTGTCTGTTTTATATTCAAATAAGTATCTTTGAGTTTTTAAATAAATATGCAATTCCCAAAGTAAATACAAATATGAAGAAATTAGAAGAAATGTTTTACAGAAATGTAAAGTGTTTAAGTGTTTTAAAACCCAAACAATCAATCTAGAAAATAATTTTTAAAGAAATTGCTCCTGAAAGTAACCCCTAGTTGCAGCCCTCATGAACCCCTCTCCTCTTTCTGTCGCAGGTGTCCACGTTGCTCTGGTAAAAGAAGATGTCTCAACGGAGTGGACAGGAGGACCCGGAGCGGTACCTGTTTGTGGACCGGGCCGTCGTCTACAACCCGGCCACGCAGGCTGACTGGACGGCCAAGAAGCTGGTCTGGATTCCCTCAGAGCGCCATGGCTTCGAGGCCGCCGGCATCAGGGAGGAGCGCGGAGAGGAGGTGCAGCTGGAGCTGGCCGAGAACGGAAAGAAGGTCGTGGTCAACAAGGACGACATCCAGAAGATGAACCCGCCCAAATTCAGCAAAGTGGAGGACATGGCGGAGCTCACCTGCCTGAACGAGGCCTCGGTGCTGAACAACCTGAAGGAGAGATACTACTCGGGACTCATTTACGTGAGTGACTCAGAAACCTTATGTACTGTTGAGATGGTCGGTAACAGTGAAGGAAGTTAAAGTAGAGACACTACATACTGATATACACCTGAACATCAGCAGGAGAGGACTCTTTAAAGTAGAGACACTACATACTGATATACACCTGAACATCAGGGGGAGAGGACTCTTTAAAGTAGAGACACTACATACTGATATACACCTGAACATCAGGGGGAGAGGACTCTTTAAAGTAGAGACACTACATACTGATATACACCTGAACATCAGCAGGAGAGGACTCTTTAAAGTAGAGACACTACATACTGATATACACCTGAACATCAGGGGGAGAGGACTCTTTAAAGTAGAGACACTACATACTGATATACACCTGAACATCAGCAGGAGAGGACTCTTTAAAGTAGAGACACTACATACTGATATACACCTGAACATCAGCAGGAGAGGACTCTTTAAAGTAGAGACACTAAATACTGATACGCACCTGAACATCAGCAGGAGAGGACTCTTTAAAGTAGAGACACTACATACTGATATACACCTGAACATCAGCAGGAGAGGACTCTTTAAAGTAGAGACACTACATACTGATATACACCTGAACATTAGCAGGAGAGGACTTTCTTTTTTAAACTTGTTGTAATATATATTGGATGATTTTACTTTTGTGATGACTAACCTTTAATCTCCCATAATTCTCACCGCTGTAGATTGAATCCTAGTTGTTATAATTGAAATTAGCATTTTGTCAGAGCAACCAGACTTCATTTAAAGACGTCGTTGCTGCTCTACCTCTGCGTTGGTCCTTTGGGTTTTGATTGTATTGTTGTGGCTAGTTTGTAATCGTCCAAAAACACAAAAACAAGCGAATGGATTGAGGCAGCGTTAGACCATCAACATTGGTTTTCTGCGTGTTAATATCACTGGTTTTATCAATGGAGTTTGACGGCAAAGGGAAAACGTAAAGAATATTCTGGAAACACAGACTGATATTGACTGAGTGATTTGTATTTTGTTGGATCTAAAAACCCATGATTCTCACAGCTGTAGACTGAATTTCACCCTCAGTTGTTATAATAAAAAAATGCCAGTCAGCGTTTCTGCTCTCTGCACACTGGTCTTCACTTTTAGACGTCTTGTCTTTTGCACTCGTGTGTGAAAGTGAGATCTTTATCACTGTATGTTTTTGGGGACAGAGAGTGTATTGAGCTCTCCTGACTGAATCCTGTCCACACACACACACACACACACACACACACACACACACACACACACACACACACACACACACAGACAGTATGATTGACAGATGT